GGTTAAGTGATGGGCCCAGAGTCACACAGCTAGTGAGTGTTACGCGTCTGAGGTCATATTTGAACTCGGGTCTTCCTGACTCCAGTGCTGGTGCTCTATTCACTGCACCACCTAGCTGCCCTGAGGTCCTTCTCAAATCTGTGATTCTCTTCAATTCTGTTGTCTAGCCATACCTCCTTGTGAAGGTACTTGTGTAGTTGTGTACTTGTGAAGTTAATTTTTTTAAACCCTAATGAAATGAAATTTCATCTTATTAAATTTGGTCCATTCTAGCCTTGGGTATTTTGGGAACCTCATGCTGTCTCCAGTGTGTTATCTGCAAATTTGATAAGTATGCCACATATACCTTCATCCAAATCACTGATAAAAATATTAAGCACATGATTCCTGGATCATTTCATTAAAGACCTCTCTTCTTCATTAATAATTTTCTTGGTCTGGTTATTCAACTAGTTCCAAACCTTAGTAAACTATCTTCTCCAGGGGTGGGGAACCTGCGCCCTGGAGGGCCACAGGTTCTCCACCCTGATTCTAGCCAATGTCTTCTTCTTGTCCAAAAGGATAGCATGAGAAATAGCATGGTGAATACTTTTGTTGAAATCAGTGTATGACAGTAGTAAATGACTGTAATAATCTAGTGTTTGATAAACCCAAAGATCCAAGCATTTGGGGTAAGAACTCAATATATGGCAAAAATTACTGGGAGAACTAGAAAGCAGTTTGACAGAAACTAGGCATAGACCAATATCTCACACCATATATCAAGATAAGGCATAAAAGGTAATATCATAAGTAAATTAGGGAAACATGGAAAAATGTACCTGTCAGATCTATAAATAAGGGAAGGGTTTAAGACCAAAGAAGAGAGAGAGATTATGAGAAGTAAAACAGATAATTCTGACTACATGAAATTAAAAAGCTTTTGCACAAAACTAATACAGCCAAAATTGGAAGGAAAACAGGAAACTGGGAGAAGAAATTTACGTTTCCCTGATAAAGGCCTCATTTCTCAAATATATAGGGAACTGAGCCAAATTTATGAAAATAAGAGCCATTCCCCAATTAATAAATGGTCAAAGGATATGAACTGGCAATTTTCAGAAGAAATCAAAGCTATCTATAGTCTTATGAAAAAATGTTCTAAATCACTACTGATTAGAGAAATGCAAACTAAAACAACTGAGATACCCATCAGATTTGCTAACATAAGAGAAAGGAAAATAAATGTTGGAGGGGATGTGGAAAAATCAGGATACTAATGCATTGTTGGTGGAGTAGTAAACTGGTTCACTCCAGAGGACAATTTGGAACTATGCCCAAAGGACTATAAAACTCTGCATGTCCTTTGATCTAGCAACACTACTACAAGGGCTGTATCCCAGAGAGACCAAAGAAAAGGGAAAAGGACCTGTCTGTACAAAAATATTTATAGCAGCTCTTTTTGTGGTGGCAAAGCATTAGAAATTGAGGGAACGCCCATCAATTGGGGAATAGTTGAACAAATTGTGGTACATCATTATGACAGAATACTACTATGCTGTAAGAAATGTTGGAGAAGATGGTTGCAGGAACAACCTGGGAAGACTTATATGAACTGATACGAAGGAAAGTGAGCAGAATCAGGAGAACATTGTACACAGTAACAGCAATATTATAAAAGATGATCAACTGTGAAAGACTTAACTCTGGTCAAGACAAGGATCTAAGACATTTTGAAAGGATTCATGATGAAAAAATACTATCCACCTCCAGAGAGAGAACTGATAAACTCTGAATGCAGATTAAAGCATACTTAAACAAAACTTTATTTTTGTTTTGTGTTTTCCTTTGCAACATGGTTAATATAGAAATGTCTGGCATGATCTCACATGTATAACAAATCAAAGTGCTTGCCTTCTCAAGGAGGGGAAAGGGACAAGAAGGGAGGGAATTTGAACTCAAAATTTTAAAAAATTTTAAAAAATAAATACAGTTTTAAAGATTAATAAATTTTTACATGTAATTGGGAAATATTTAACAAAATAAAAATTTTAAAAAATAAATCAATGTATATTCTATCTTTACAGTATTTCCCTGATCTACCAGTTTAGTTACGTTGCCAGAAAAGGAAATGAGGTTAGTCTGGCATGACCTGTTCTTAATGAAGCCATGCTGGTTCAGTGATTACTAATTCCTTTTCTAAATGCTCAGATAGGCTGGCCTCATGGTTTGGGAGAGGGAACCTGTTCTTAGGGTCGTAGGTATGAGTGAATGATAGTCTGTTGCTTTCTTAGGTTTCTTGAGGTCCCAGGAGCACATCAGCTATAGGTTGTATGCATAGCTTATTAGCATACTCAGGTATGCCCCTTAGTTTCTGTCAATCCACAGATCTCAGGTTGGGGGTAAGAAGGTTTTGTTATTACTATTACCAGCATTAGTGGAATTAGAAGAAAATCAGAAAATTCTGCAAACTCCTTTAGGATAAGACCTACAATCATATCCCTTCTTTGGTGACTGGATTCTCTCCAGAAAGGCCCATCTTTTTAGTTCCAGTATTCTACTCCTGTTGGTATATGGATATAAACCATGGAATATATCTCCAAATGAGTATCACACGGAGAGCAACGAAAAGTTGCATGGCAGGAGCGCGCAGACTGCAACATAAAACTAATGAGGAACTTTGAAAAGCAAGAGTAAAAGATATTATCAGGGAAACGGTGGCATGCCAAAGGCCAGTGATGAGGTGGACAGCCAGGGTGTTTCACTGGTATTCTTATGACATCAGAAGAAAACAAGGAAGGTCATCACTATGTTGAGTGGACCCCCAATGGTGAACTTAAGGGAGGGCACAGCCAATAGTCACACAGGGCATGCAGGCATGGAAGAGTTGTGATCTGCATCATTTCAGGGAATCATTCAAACTGATGGGCTCTTAGATTCAACTGAAAAATGTCTTTAAATATAGTTCTTTTAGCAGCTAGCACAGGGTTGGTTACATAGCAGGCCCACAGCAAATACCTGAATTCTAAAATAGCTTGCATTTCCATAGAACTTTAAGGCTTAACAAACACTTTAGCTATATTACCTCATTTAATTCTCACAACCCTCTAAGGTAGGCAGTAAAATATCTATTCCCATTTTATAGCTGAGTAAACTGAAGATCAGGAGATTGGGACTTGAGATCAAGGTCACATAAAAGCTAGGACTCAAATGCAGGTCTTTTGACCCCTAAATTCAATGATAGATCCATTATACAAGGGCAGCTAGGTGGTGCAGTGAATAGAACTCTGGGCCTGGAGTCAAAGAGACTTCCCAAGTTCAAATCCAGCCTCAGACACTTACTAGCTGTGTGACCCTGGGCAAGTCACTTAACGATGTTGACCTCAGTTCCCTCATCTGTAAAACGAGCTGGAGAAGGAAATGGCAAACCCCTCCAGTATCTTTGCCAAGAAAACCCCAAATGGGGTCACGAAGGGTCAGACAAACAGAAAAACAACTGAACAACATCAATATCTAATATCTCTACAGCACTTTAACGTTTGCAAAGCATGTTACGTGTTAGTTTATTTGATCCTCACAACAACCCTGTGAGGTAGGTGCTATTGTTATTCCTGTTTTATAGATGAGAAAACTGAGGCTGAGGTTAAATGTCTTGTCTAAGTTTCCACAGCTAGTGAGATAAGATTTGAACTCAGGTCTTCCTAACTCCAATTCTAGCTCTCTACCCACTGTGTCATTCAGCTATCTGTGGGAACACTGTGGGAAGAGGAACTAAAAGTTCTAAGAAAGGATCAGGATGTGGGAGGCTGGCTGGGAGAGTGGTTCTAGGAGAAAGGCAGAAGGGAGGACTTGTCACAGAGCAGAAGTCAGTTAATGGGGAGTGATTAACAAAAGGAAAAGCATCAAGAAAACATTGTTTAAAATGCCCAGAAAACAGTCAGTACAGAAGGGGAAAGAGCAATTTTGTTACCACTGGAATATTTCTTTTAAAAAAAAACTGTATGAAAGTTCAGCCCTCTTCAGCTCTTTGAACCTTGAAATGTTTGTTGCTGAAGTACACAATTTAAAAGAAGAATCTTTTTTTTAAAATAGTGAGGACTTCCCTCAGAGGTGGAGTTTCTGTCTCTAGCAGGAGAAGCTAATTCAAGGAAATAGCCTCATTGAGCCTGGGAAAGTCCACTTGGGAAAGGATGTCTAGATATATTGCTTAGAAGATCCCAATATTGTTGTTTTCCCCCTTGGTCTCTAGAAGTCCCTGCTTCCTCTCTCCAGTCTGGAGGCTACTATGAGTCTTTGTGTCCAAACACTTCTGCCCACTGCCCCCCTAAAGACTTTTTGTTTTGTTGGCTAATTCACTTTAGTAATTGGTTTTGTGGCTCTGCTAGCTGCTGTTTCCTGGGCAGATTTCATTACCCTGGGGAAGGAGGGAGCAGAACTCCTATCTGAGCCTAAGGGATTCAGAAAATAATAGAGATACATCTCATCTTCAGCTTCTTCTAAATGCAGAGTCCTTGTGTGCTCCCTAGCTCTCTGCTTTCCAGTGCAGTGCATCCAACTGACTGCTTTGATTGTGGAAGCCTAAAGGAAAAGGAGGTGCACTGTTCCTGAAGTCTAAGTGCAAGAGGGAACACCAGCAGAAAAGGGATTATCCCTGGGAAGGTCCTAGAGGAGTTGGGGACGACATAATATGGGAATGGGGGAAGAAGGACAGAGATGAGCTCAAGGGCCCCAGAGAATGGTCCCTTTGTGTAGGGCAAGAAGCAGGAGGGGAGGTGACAAGGGAGCGATTGTGTGGGAAGGATGGAAGCGCCACACAGACTGGCACCACCATGGCCAATGCCAGATTTACTCCCCTCCCTGCTCCCAAGAAGGGAGAGGTTCCCTCTACCAGAGAAAGACATAAAAGGCAAAGCCCATCAGAACTGAAGACAGGGATGGGGATCCTGTTAACCAGGTGACTGAACCTTGGATGAAAGAAGCCCCCACCCTACCCCTGGACACAGGAAGGAGGAGACGGCAAAGAAAAGAGAGAAGCAGCTTTTACTGTATTTACATCCAACAAAACCTCAAAGACAATCGTTATTGCACAGATCAGGGCCCTGGCTGGGAGAAGCAGCCCCGGGAAGAAGGGAAGGGGGTAAGGGAAAGCAGGGAAGAATACCCCAAGTCCTGGGGCTGAAAGTGGGGATGTAAAATGTTTGTGGGGAAACCAAGCTTCTGCCTCCCTGAGTTCTCATTCTCTTAGGGAAAGGGGGGGAGGGATACAACTACAGGGTCCAGGAGTTTCAGCTCCCCACCTTTCCAATCTTAACAGGGACCCCAAAATCGAGGCAGCTGTTGTGGCTCCAGAATAAATAATATAAAATAAAATATCAATACTGAGGCAGAAGGCAGGGGTGGGGATGGGCCCAAGTGGGAAGGGGAGCATTTCTGACCTGGAAGGGAAGGTGACAACAGCCCCCCTCCCCAGGACCAAGGCAGAGGCTCAGCAGTTCTGTATCTTTCCAGTTGTTTTTTAAAACAAAAACTTCTAAAATGACAGGTGGGCATGGATCTAGGGGTGCCTTGGAGGGACGCACCTGGATTTGTGGAGGGCAGGAGAAGCAGAGCTGTGCTAACTCTCCTCCCACATCAGCACAAGAAAAGCGGGTCAGAAACAAGAGGAGTTGTGACTTTTGGTATCAGTGACCTCTCCTGCCTCAATCAATGCCCACAGACTGGGCAATCAGCCTGGCATTCTCCCTAACCTTAGGGATCAGAGGAAAGACATTACTCAGAGATTCCTCTGTCCCCTAGGCTGGGATAAGAGGCCCAGAGGTCCTAGCATTCCAAAGGTGCCCCAAAACACTTGCGACAGTCGATGGCCTTCAGGGTGGGCATCTGTGCCCGCCGCCGACGCAACTCCTCCTTGCCCAAGCTGCTCGCCAGCTTATTGAAGGCTGCCTTGTACTTCTTGTCAAAGGCCGCTGGCAAAGGAAAGGAGCAAAAGGTGGTGTGTGAAGAGGTGAACAAAACACCTAATGTTGGTGGGGAATTACAGCCCTCATCCTATCCCCAAAACACCCCATCAGCATGTCTGGAACCTAGAGTTTCACTAATCCCAACATTATGACTTTGAAGCACCATCACAGTGCAGAGATTTTCAACCAAGCAAGGTTCCCAGCTCCCTCTCCCTATCTACCTTCTTTCTTTCCTCCATACCTATATCCATATGGTCCTTGCCCAGTGCAGCCATTGTCAAGAAGAGAATCTCTCGGTAGATGCTTCTGAAGGTAGAAAAGTTAAAGGTGAATGAGCAGGGAAGAAGGGGTAGCTGCCCAGGAAAAACAAGCCTGTAGTGAAGATGGGCTCTATTTCTGCGGAATGAGGAGCCGGGTGGAGTCTCATCTCTGCCGCCTCCCTGTGTGACCTCAGTCATGCTTGCCCTCTAGGGGTCTGGAGATGAAGGGGTTGGATTAGTTGGGTCATTCCAACTCTTGAGCTCATGATTCTATGAGAACTATCTAGAGATGGAGAAGTTTTGGGGAAAATAGAGTGGGAGGACCTAAGAAGGAGTCTCTGGATATCCTAATGGACAGGGTGTAGGCATTCCAACAGAAAAAGGAGGGTTACCGCTGGAGGTGCAGGCCCCCAGGTGGGGAGCCTAGTGTGTCCAGGAGAAGTGCCACAGCTTTATGTACTTCATTTAACCCTACGTGGAGAAGCACAGTCTCCAGCAGAGCAAGATTCAGAGGTGCAGGTGCTGTGCCTGGCCATGTCACCCGATGAGGGACCTGGCCTAGTAGGAGAGGGAGAAAGGGAGGCCGGGATCACAGGTTCTTCTGCAGGGGAAAAGACCCTCCCTGGCCATGTGCCCCAACCTCCAAACAACTCCCCCCACCCCCCACCCCGGCTCTGCTCAGGCCTCAAACTCACTGTGAGCCCTCCAAAGGACGTAGAGGGGAGGACAACTGTCAGGGTCAGGGGTCAGCACATCCCATAGCAGTCGTATCTGCACCATAGCCGGTTCTGAAGGCAGCCAAGAGGATGGGGCCTGGGGGTTGGGGGGAGGGTTAGAGCTGGGCCTAGAAGACAGGGGCAGAGGGATGGGAGGTGGGGGATGGAGACAAAAGGAGTAGGCAGTAGTTTGAGGGTTTGAGATGAAGTAATAGGAAGACAGAGATGGAAGAAGATAAGGAAGCAAAAGATGACAAGAAAATAGAGGAGCAAAGAGACAGGAATCCAGGGCCTTGTAGGGGCACT